CGGTTATTTGAAAAACATAACTACTTTTTAAAATTTACCAGACACATTATGTGTGTTATCACAAAGTATCAGTATCGCCGATACCAGCCACATTTTACTTAGTATCAGTATCGGAAAGAAAATTTCCAGTATGAACATCACTAATATTTAGGTCCACAAGTTCAAAAGTGCATATGCTCCATAAAACTTAGCAGAAGCTAAACATAAAGCACAAGTATGTCTCCATTCACCAGAAAACATACCAGATACCAAGAGACAGGTCAGCAGCACTATACTGCTGAATAGTGGAACGATCAATTCCTTTCACAAATTGGCTCATGTCGTCGCAGTTTGGGGAGGTGATTTGTTGAAACAGACTTTTGAGTCATGGTGTCAAGAAATAAACTAGTGGATTGCTGGTTCTGCTACTACTTGGCCATTTTCTTATGATTATGGTAAGAAAGCATACAGATATATTAGTAATTTTAAACTGTTTATTGTAAAACTGAAGAGATGCATTTTGGGTAGGCTACAGGACAAACAGGAACTCGTGTTCATTTTGAAATAAGAGAGTGAATTTAAACTGTTTCTTGTGAGCTTCAATACGACGTCAYATAGAGTTGGTGGTGAAAATGTGGGTCATAAATTAATTCCTCCCTCTACCCTCCCAAAGCTCAGATAAGTATATAATATAGCTCCATCTGCTTCCTGCCATGCAAAGAATTGTGGGAACTAAATTACTAAATTAAAACCGTGACAAAGAAGGATGGTTCGTCAGAGTTTATAGCTCTGTGAACAGCAGTGTTGTCACAGGGGGTCTCTGTTTCCATACAGTGGAGCACCATTGTGTTAACYAGAGACAGTTTTCTCCTCCAATGTTGAAGAAAATGATGAGACTTCAGTGAATTACGCAGCTATATAACGTAGTGGATTTAGACTTCACTCTCTCTTTATTATAGACAAATTTGACAATTGATCTTGAAACTTTATTTGATTAGCCCTACTCAATTCTAAATTTAGAAAGCACAAATCTGCACATCATTTGTGTAAATTAGTAAAGCACAAAGGAGAAATTTAGGTCTGCAATTAATGCATTTACCCTGTAGGGGTCTAGTGCCCACCACTGTCCATCTGACATTTTTTTTAACATTTTCATTATTTTACTGTAGCAAAACAGACATTTTAAATCTGACAAACCTTAACAGTATGTCTGTACTTCATCATTTTATGGATTYTAAAGGCATGAATGTGAATGATTTTTGCTGAACATTGTCCTCTTCTGCAGGGAGTGTATCGAATGTCGACTGTTTAACTCAGGACGGTTTGCAGACAACCACACCTGCCAGCGTGTGTGTAAAGATAAAATAATTATTGTGGAGACCCTCGGTGAGTGAAGACACACACACATCTCTCTCTATTTGTGTGGATTTTACATTGACTTCAATTAATCTGTACAGCCTAACCCTGACTCTTTACCCTAAACCTAATCTCTGACCCACAAATAATTGTTTCATTGTGTAGACCAGGCAAATGTCCACACAATGACAAAATGTTCTCATAAGCATAGTATAATGTCAAAATAAATCCACACACCAAAACAAAGACACGGACACACACAAACACACACAGTTAGAGTTTAATTCTTATTAAAACACTGCATTGTCTTCAATTAATTTTTCAGCATTATATAATCTATTTTTGTTCATCAGAAAACAAAGATGGCCACTTTTCTGTTCCAGATCAAAAAGTTTTTAAAGTGAAGTCTAAATTACTGAAAAGCTGCATTTAATTCCACTCACTGACAATCATCTGGTTATTTGAACATTATGGTGAAACTACAGGCAAATGTTCACATTAGTGAATAATAAAGTTTTTCATGTTTGTATTTGTAGTTATTTGATGATGACACTGCCTCTGAAGTGCTCCGGCACACAGTACCTTTTAGAAAATGTTCTGTAAAAGTCCAGCTGTTACATGATTTACTTTTTAAAAACAGCTTAAAAGGACTTAATCAGGCTTCAAACTGTTTCTGCTTCCTGAGTCTAAATTACAAACACCTTCTTGATAAAATATCAAGAGTCTGTTTTTATATAAGAAGCAGAAACATGGATCTGTGTCATAAGAAAATTGGGCCTCATGCAAGAACCTTCTTAAGTTGTGCGTACGAGTGATTTAGGAGAATTTGTGACATTCACCAATGTTTTCGTT